TATATATATATATATATTAATAATAAGGAAAGGAAAAAAAGAAGAATAAAAGAAAGAAGAATAAAAGAAAGAATAAATAAATATATAAAAGAAAAAAAAGAGAAATAAAAGAATAAATAAATAAATAAATAAATAAATAAAAGAAAAAAGAAGAAAAAAAAAGAAGAAAAAAGAAGAAAAAAGAACCAAACTGTTGGGCGGCTAAGCCAACAAGAAGAATGTCTTATTATAAGGACGACCCCAAAACCGGCAGCAGCAGCAGCAGCAGCAGCAGCAGCAAAAAAATAACTACTGCTGCTGCTGTTGCTGCTGCAGCAATAATAATAATAATAATAATTTTATTATTATTATTATTAATAATAAAGGAGCAACAAGAAGAATAATTATATTATCTATACATTGCCTCTATATATATACACAAACAGCAACAGCAGCAACAGCAGCAGCAAAAGCTGCTGCTGCAGCAAATACATTGCTGCAGCAAAAAACATCGCTGCTCCTGCAGCAAAAATACTGCAGCAGCAGCAAAAAACGCTGCAGCAGCAAACACTAATACTGCAGCAGCAAACACACTGCTGCTGCAGCAGAAAAAACACTGACTGCAGCAGCAGCAGCAAAAACATTGCAACAGCAGCAGCAAAAACACTGCAGCTGCAACAGCAGCAAAAACACTGCAGGCAGCAGCAGCAGCAGCAAAAGAGAATATTGAATAAAGGGGAGGAGAGCCTCCTTTTGCTGCTATATAATAATTAATTATTGTCTATATAAATAAATAAATAAATAAATAAATAAATAAATAAATAAATAAATAAATAAAAATACACAAAACAAACAAACTATACAACTATATAACTAAATAAATAATAAATAAATAAATAAATAAATAAATAAATAAATAAACATAATAAAGAAAATAAATAAACAAACATAAAGAAGGAAAATAAACAAAACAAAACAAACAACAGAAGAAAAAGAAAAGAACGAGGAAGTTTGCTGCTGTTGTTGCTGCTGCTGCTGCTGTTGCTGCTGTTGCTGCTGCAACAGCAGCAGCAGCAAAAAAAAAGGAGCAAATAATCATCAACTATACACTATACACATAATAACTAAATAACTAAATAAATAAATAAATAAATAAATAAATAAATATATTTATGTGTTTTCTTTATAGACCATCACTCCATCATTGTTTATTCAATATCTGCTGCTGCTGCTGCTGCTGTTGCTGCTGCTGTTACCGTTGTTGCTGCTGTTCCTGTTGCTGTTGTTTCTGTTGCTGCTGCTCCTGTTCCACTTGTTCCTGTTGCTGCTGCTGCTGCTGCTGTTGCTGCTGCAGCAGCAGCAGCAGCAAATAAGGAACAACAATAGACGCCCTCATACATTCAAAAAAAAGGCATTTTTGCCGCTGCGGTGTACGTACACCGTAAATATATAAATATATAAATAAATAAATATATATATAATTATATATATATTATTTATATTTATTTATATATATTATTTTTATATATTATTTATATATATTATTATTTATATAATATATATATGCACACAAGCAAACCAACCTGATGGTGTTGCTGCTGCTGCTGTTGCTGCTGCTGCTGCTGTTAATGTTGCTGCTAGTGCTGCTGCAGCAACATTAACATTGTTATTAGCACCCCACTCTTTATGTTGTTGCTGCTGCTGCTGCTGTTGCTGCTGCTGCTACTGCAGCAGATACACTGCAACAATAGCAGCACAAAATTGTTAGGAATATAATTATACGGATATTATTTATTTGCTGCTGCTGCTGCTGCGGCTGCTGCTGCTGCTTGTATATATAGATTATCCTGTAAACCCTCGGGCATCGCATGCAGCAGCAGCAGCAGCAGCAGCAGCTAAGAATTGTTCTCCTACTGTCTGTACATTATTATTAACATCTTGTGTATTTTCTCTTGTTTCTCCTTCTTCCTGTTTAGCTAATAATTCTGCTGCTGCTGCAGCTGCAGCAGCATTTGCTGCTGCTGCTGCTGCATCTGTATCTCCTTCTGTACATACACCCGAACTGCGGGGCACAGATCTACTCATTAGCTGCAGCATATCGTTATATGCTCTTCCTCCTGTTGCTGCACCTGCTGCTGCAGCAGCAGCAGCAGCAGCAACAGCAGCAGCTGCTGCATTTGCTGCAGCACTATCCTGTTTTCCTGTTGTTTTATTATTATCACCTTCTGCTTCTCCTGTTCTATTACCATCCATCCTTGCTGCTGCAGCTGCTGCAGCTGCAGCAGCAGCAGCAGCTGCTGCAGCTGCTGCATTAGGTTTATGTGAATATTTTTTATCTGTTTTTTTTTTGTCATTTTCTTCCATAGGATTACTATTCTCATTCTTTGTTCCTGCTGCTGCTCCTCCTCCTCCTCCTCCTCCAGCAGCAGCAGCAGCAGCAGCAGCAGCAGCAACTGCTGCTGCTGCTGCAGCACCATCAGTTGTACATCCAGATACATTACAACTACCATTGGAAGCAGCAGAAGAAGCAGGTGAATTAACCGTTCCTGCTGCTGCTGCTGCTGCTGCTGCTGCTGTTGCATTACCTGCTGCAGCAGTACCACCACCACCACCACCACCAGCAGCAGCAGCAGGAGGAGGAGGAGGAGGTGAATGAATAACAGGCTTGAATACAGCGAGCATTCCCTTTTGTAGTGTATGTGCTTCTCCGCTTAATAACTTCTCTAATCGGCAATGCATAGCTAAACCACGAGCTGTCTCGTACCCATACTTCCCTGTACATATACACATATACATATATAAATATATATATACATTTATTTATTTATTTATTTATTTATTTATTTATTTATTTATTTATTTATTTAGTTAATTATATATAATTTAATGTATTATTTACTAGGTAAAGGTATTATAATATGTATTATACATATATACATATATAATAAATATACAATATATAAATATATAAATAAATATAAATATAAATAAATATAAATAAATATAAATAAATATAAATAAATACAAATAAATATAAATATATACATATACATGTATATATATATATAAATATAGATATATATATGAATATATAAGAGATAAAAGAGAGAAAAGAAGTGCAAAAGAAAGGAAATAAATAAATAAATAAATATAAATAAAATAAATAAATAAAATAAATAAATAAATAAATAAAATAAATAAATACATACCTGCAGACCAAGAACGTTGGAATTCTTTACCATTTCTACTCCATGTACATACCCATCTATTAAGAGATCTATTAAAGAATACACCACGCATAGTAGATGAATATAAATAAGAAGGAAATAATTTATTATTTATTTCTTTATTATTATTTATATTATTTATATTTATATTATTATTATTTATATTATTATTATTATTATTTAATTCCTTATTATTTAATCTATTTATTATCTTCTCCTTATTTATATTTATATTTATATTATTATTTATATTATTATTATGTTTATTTATTTCTTTATTTATATTATTTATTTTATTTATATTTATTTCTTTATTATTTATTTCTTTATTTATATTATTTATTATATTATTATTATTATTATTATTATTATTATTATTATTATTATTATTATCTTGTTGTTGTTGTTGTTTATTTATTTTATTTATTTCTTTATTTATATTATTATTATCTTGTTGTTTATTTATTTTATTATTTATTTCTTTATTTATTTTATTTATTTCTTTTATTTCTTTTCCTTCTCCTCCCCCCATCCTTGCTAACTTTATTAATTGATCTAATATACTAGGACTTAATCCTCCTCCTCCTTGTTGTTGTTGCTGTTGTTGTTGTCCTGCTGCTGCTGCTGCTGCAGTTGCTGCTGCTGTTGTTGCTGCAGTAGATGATGATGATTGAGAGGATTGAGAAGAAGTAGATGATGCTGGTTGTGTGTTACTAAGGTGGGGTTGCTGCTGTTGCTGGTGTGGGGAGGAAGGAGAAGAAGGAGAGGTAGGAGAAGGACATGATGATGCTGCTGCTGCTGCTGCTGCAGCAGCAGATGGTAATTCATCTTGCTGCTGCTGCTGCTGCTGTGATGATTGCGATTGCTGCATGCCATCAAGTATAGATACAGCAGGACTTGCTGCAGCAGAAGCAGCAGCAGCAGCAGCTGCTGCTGCTGCAGCAGCACGTAAACGTCCATGCTGCTGTGGTGGACTACCTTTAACAGGTGTTAAACGCATGCGTCCTTTAGTGCTGCTGCTGCTGCTGCTGCTGCTGTTATGTGCAGCAGCAGCAGCAGCACGAAGTTTCTTAGATGTTGCCTTACGTAGACCATAGCCATGTGTCTTTAATGGTCCATCTTGTGCCATCATTTCTTCTGTCTCTCCTCCTGCTGCTGCTGCTGCAGTACCTGTTGTTGCTGCTCCTGCTGCTGGAGAAGAGGAAGCAGCAACTTGTTGCTGCAGTGCAGCAAGTTGTGCTAATGCTTCCCCTAAATATCTTTCTCCTGCTGCTGATCTTTTCCTTCTTCCTCTTACACTACATGTACTTAATGTATCACTCTCCCCATCTCCTCCTCCTGCTGCTGCTGCTGCTGCAGTTGCTGCTGCTGCTGCTGCTGCAGTAGCATCTTGTGTTCTTCCTGCTGCAGTATCAATAGAAAAAGCTTGAGGAGAAGAATGTGTTTTATTACCACCAGATCTACCACCACCACCAACCTGCTGTTGCTGTTGCTGCTGTTGCTGCTGTTGCTGCTGCTGCTGCTGCTGCTGCTCTGATTGTAATTTTTGTAGTACCTCACCTAATAATCTAGATCCTCTTCTTGCTAAACTCTCAGGACAACAAGAGTTTAATATTTCTGCCTGTAGATTAGGGTGTCTCCTTTTATTAACACTTGCAGGTATAAATGATGAAGGAGACACTCCTATACTTGTATTATTATTATTACGCTGCTGCTGTTGCTGCTGCTGTTGCTGCTGCTGTTGCTGCTGCTGTTGGTTGTTGGTGCTGTTGCTGTTGTTGCTGCTGTTGTTTACTGCAGCAGCAGCTGCTGCAGCAGCTGCTGCTGCTAACTGTAAATCTTCGGATAGTTCCTCTATGGAACTTGTCTCATGCTTCTTCCCTCCTTCTGAATCTGCTGCTGCTGCTGCTGCTGCTGCTGCAGCTGCTGCTGCTAAACCTGTAGGGGTATAAGTAGATGTTAATTTACCACATCCAGGTGCTTCTGAAGCAGCAGCAGCTGCAGCTGCAGCAGCTGCTGCTGCAGCTGCAGTTCCTACAGGTGGGGAGCAAGCAGCAGCAGCAGATGCAGATGCAGCACGAGGTCTCTTTGAGTGTCTAGTTGGTGGTAATTGAAAGAAAGAAGAACAAGAAGAACAAGAACAAGAAGAAGAAGAAGAGACACAACAATCATTAATATTAGCGGCAGCAAATGCTGCAGGAGATGAGGATTTATTTAACTGTTGTTGCTGTTGCTGTTGTTGCTGCTGCTGTTGCTGTTGCTGCAGTTGTTGATGTAGCAGCAATTGCTGTTGTAATTGTTGGTGTAGATTATTTAATTGTTGATCTGCTGTTGCTGATGTTGCAGTTGTATTAGTATTTGTTGTTGTTGCAGCAGCAGCAGCAGCAGCAACAGCAGCAGCAGCAGCATTAGCTGCAGCATTAGTTTCTCCCCATATACTTTTACAATCTATATCCATAGGAAATTTTCCTCTAATATTACCACCACCACCACCACCACTAGGAGCAGCAGGAGCAGCAGGAGTATTATTATTATTATTATTATTATTATGTGTAGGTGTAAGTATACGATGTAGGGTATACATACACTCAAGAGCAGCAACAACTTGTACAAATACAGCAGCAGGACAATTAGATACCATTTGTGCAATAGGTGCTGCTGCAATAGTACCATGTTTAGCTAAATAACGTAATGCAATACATATCATATTTTCTTGTTGTTGTTGCACTTGTTGCTGCTGCTGCTGCTGCTGCTGCTTCTGCTCACCACCATTGCTACTATTATAATTATAATTATAATTATAATTATAATTATAATTATTATGATTAAAGAAATTAATAGATATACATATAGGAAGAAGAATATGTGCATAATGTATAATAGTAGGATATAAATGTCCAGTAGTAATTTTATATAAATGTATAAGATAAAATAAACCTTTATCTTTTTTTTTTAATAAAGGAATTAAATTACATATTTGATCAAATATTAATATTAATAATAATTGAAAATCTACTAATACACGATCTGCATCACATAATAATATTTCTTCTTCTTCTTCTCTTACTCTTCTTACTCTTCCTCTTGTTCCTGTTGTTCCTGTTCCTGTTCCTGTTCCTGTTGTTCCTGTTCCTGTTGTTCCTGTTCCTGCTGCTGCTGCTGTTGTTGATGATGTTGCTGTTGTTGTTGTTGTTGTTGTTGTTGTTGTTGCTGTTGTTGTTGTTGATGATAAAGATAATCTGTGAATATATTCATTATCTAATGATGATGGGATTGATGAGGAAGAAGAGGATGATGATTGTGCTGCTGCTGCTGCTGCTGCTGCTGATGCTGCTGCTGCTGCTGCTGCAGCTGCACCTGCTGCTGCTGCTACTGCTGCTGTTGCAGTATCTATATTTCCTGTATTTGTATCATCTTCTAATAATAATCCTCTCTGTTGATGCTGCTGCTGCTGCTGCAGTTGCTGCAGTTGCTGCAATGCACATATATCTGATGCACATGATCCTATATCTCCATCTATTCCTGCTGCTGCTGCTGCTGCTGCAACTGCAGCAGCAAGATCTGTTGTAGTAGTATGATGATGAGGTGTAGGTGTACTAGATGTACTTGTTGTTGTACAACCACTCCTGCTGCTGCTGCTATTATTTGTACTACTACTGCTGCTGCTGCAGCATGTGCTGCAACTGCACGAAAGAACACCACCACCACCACCTCCTGCTCCTGCTGCTGCTGCTGCTGCTGATCCTCTATGTGTAAGTATATCTTCTTCGTTATCTTCTCTTTCTTTATCTAAATAAATATTACTTGTCTTTATAGGGAATGCACATGATGTCTGCAGTGTATCTGCAGCAGCAGTTGTTGTTGTTGCTGTTGTTGTTGTTGTACTATTGCTGCTGCTGTTGCTGCTGTTGCTGCTGTTGCTGTTGTTATTGCTGTTGCTGTTATTGATATTTATATTGTTAGATTTACCATTGAGAGGGAAGGCTGTATCCTCCTCCTCATCTCCTGCTGCTGCTGCTGCTGCTGCAGCTGCTGCTGCAGCAGATGCAGCAGCATGCTGATCACATAAACCTTCTACAAGAGGAATATCAGGAGAAGCAAAAGCATCAAAAAAACGATCTAAAGGAGTAGACAGAGACAGCTGTACTGCTGCTGCTGCTGCTGCTGCTGCTGTTGATGATGATGATGGTGTTGGGTTGCTGCTGCTGCTGCTATGCTTGTTGCTGCGCGGCTGCAACAAACCTTCTGGTGTCTCCGTTGGAGAACCAGAAGCAAAAGGAGACGATATATAACCTGCTTCAGGAGACACCGCAGCAGCAAGACTGTCCTGCAGCAGCAGCGAGCTGCTGCGGCCTGTGCTGCTGCATCCACCTCCACCTCCTCCTCCTGCTGCAGCAGATGTAGGAGCAACAGGAGTAACAGAAAGACAGGGCCCTGTAGATATACTAGGACCACCAACACCAGGACAACCTCCTGTTGCTGCTGCAGCACCAACAGCTCCTGCTGTCGCTGCTGCTGCTGCTGTTGCTGCTGCTCCACCGGGAGCAGCAGCACCACTATCCTTAGAAGAACGCAACACACTTTCCTCCATATGCAGCAATGCATGCATAGGAGAAGCAGCATACAGGCTGCTGCTGTCTAGACGAGAACCAGCAGCAGCAGATCCTGCTGCTGCTGCTGTTGCTGCTGCTGGATTTGTACGGCACCCCGAGAAGGCTGCATCTGTACATACACCCGAGGTAGAAAGAAGACCCACAGAGCTATCGCTATCACGAAGCAAAGGCGAGTCCCGCTGCTGCTGCTGTTGCTGCTGCTCTTGCTGCAACAACTGCAGCTGCTGCTGTTGTTGTTGCTGTTGCTGTTTAGACGCTAAAAAGGCGGATACTGCTGCTGCTGAGCCCTTACCCGCCAGTTGCTGCTCAAGAGCAGCAAGAGGAATAGCAAGTTTATGTTCACTCATTTTATATGAGGAATAGGAGGAGGTCTACTGTGCTGCAGCAAAAGAAAGACATGCAGCAGCAGCAGCAGCAGCAGCAGCGGCTGCTGCTGCTGCTGCAGCGTCAAAGAAAGACGAAAATGCTGCTGCTGATGCTCCCAATACTGATTAAACTGCTGCTGCTACTGTTGCTACTGCTGCTGTCCTTCTCCTGGTTGGGGCCGTCGGTAAGGATCGGATGCAGCGCCTCTGGCGGGCGTGCTGGTTGTGTCTATGTATTGTTGTATTACGGCGGATGTTTATGTTGTTGTTGTTGTTGCTGTATATATAAAAGATAAAAAGAAGTATAAATAAAAAGAAAAGAATGAATAGAGTGTATAACGATGAAGAAATATGATAGTTGAGGTGTATACGGTATGTCGGTAGTTGTATAGTTATAATGAGGTGTATCTGTTGTATGAATACAGAAAAAGAGGTCGGTATGAATAGATAAAGAATAAATATCCATTCATTTATAAATAAATGAATAAGAATATAAATAAATAAAAAGATATTATGATGAATACATAAGAGGAGGGGGGGTTGTTGTTGTTGTTGTAGTGTATGTTGTATGTTAATGTTAGATGGTATAGAGGGAGGGAGGTGGATACAAAGACGCGAGTAAATAGTGTATATATTGTATGAATAAGAGGAAAAGAAAAGAAAAAAAGAGAATAAAAGATAAAATGTCAGGTATAAAGATGAATTAATGAATGAATTTGTTGTATTTATTGTATGAAATTAAATAACTGTAGCACATCGACGAGAGAGAGAGGAGAGAAGAAGAGAGAGCTGCGTATACACCTCAGCTGCTGAGGTAGAAAGCTGCTTCGTTGGGCAGGAAAGCTGCGGAAACCTTCATAAATTAATATATAATATTAAATAAAATAACATATTAATTATATTTTAAACAAAAAACAAGAAATTTAAACAGACATCACTTGATATCTGCCCCCCTTTCCCTGCCGTCTGTGTCTGTTGTATGGTGCTGCTGCTGATGCTGCTGCTGCTGCTGCTGCTGATACTGTGCATATAATATATATATGTATATACATATATGTATATATATATCCCTCTTTATGTTGAGTGTATATACACCTTAATAACTTTTATCACTATTATTTCTTCTTTATTATTATATATTTATTTTATTCTTTTTATTCCTCTTTTATTTTATACCTTTACAACTGTCGTCCTCCTTAGGTGTACGTACACCACGATGATGATGCATCTGTCACACAATAACAGCAGCAGCAACTCGAGAGAGAGGCCTGGGGGTTGTTGTTGCTGCTGCTGTTGCTGCTGTTGCTGCTGCTATTGATGTTCCTGATGCAGTTGTTGTTGCTGCTATTGCTGTTATTGTTGCTGTTGGTCCTGCTGATGTTGCTGTTGCTGCTATTTCTGTTGTTCTTGCTGTTGCTATTGCTGCTGCTGCGGCTGCGGCTCCTGCTGCTGCTGTTGTTAACTCTTAATCAGTAATAATACAACTATTTCTAATACAGACAAGAAAATAAAGAGGCAGAAAAGAAAAGAAAGGAGAAAAAAAGAAGAAATAAATCAACTAAGCGGTATTTCAATCAAAAACAAAAGAAAAAGGAAAAAAAATAACACTAAAACTTGCTGCTGCTGCTGCTGCTGCTGCTGCTGCTATACTAGAAGCCTGCGGTGTATGGTAGTATACGTATGTATGTACAGACGAACCGGCACGGGGGTGGCAACAGCAGCAGCAGCAGCACAGGCAGGAAAGGGCCCCCTGTACTGCTGTTGCTACTGTCTACTGCTGCTGCTGCTGCTGCTGCTTGTATAGATACAATCGTTT